CAAGCAGTGCCACATTGTTTGTTTTTAATTTAACGGCAGTGCTTTATTTGAAAATAGAAACGTTAGTTTGAGAACTGGTAGAAATAGCAACTCACTGTTGGCAGATTGTCTTTGCGGGGACATCAGTACGTATTTATATTAATGAACAACATCTTAATGTTAAAAGGAGTATGGTCTCCAAGGAAACAGTCCATCTTTTTTCATATTTCTGTCACTCTATGTTTTAATGATACTGCTAAGTAATGATACAAAACCCCACTTAGTACCTTCATTGAGAAGCACAAAGTGTAGTTTTAGAGTGAAGCAACAGAAGGCCAGCCTTTATCAGGGTGCTTCTGACATCCGCTAGACCTCACCTGATATCGTCAGCAGTACAGCTGCACGTGGGTCACCTGTGGCAACAGTCTTGGGAGAAATCCTCTACAGTCAGCACATACATTAAAAACCAGTCATGACCATGTCAGTCCAGCCCAACATTTTAAACCCTGCAACACATCCATACAAACCCTAACGCCACAGTCCAAGGCCGGTCACTGCATCTCTGTCAATCGCTCCCTGCACCCCTCTTTACTGCTTTCTTCCTGTGTGCTGTCCCTGCTCGCCCAGACTGCTTCTCTCTCCCTCCCCGTGTCCCCACTGTGTCCCCGCTCTGCCCCCTGCTCCACGCAGCCCACCCCCCCAGCACGAGTTCGCCAGCTGCATGCCTGGAGTCCGCATGCTGGGACACGGACCGGCAACATGAAAGGGTCAAGGTGTTCTTTCTACGATGTCAGCAGATGCCATGAGGAACTGGAGGAGGAGTTCCTTCTCCCTTGCCTGCATGCCATGTGCCCCTTAGAAAGGATCAGAAGATAGGCAGGCTGTGTAAGGTCCAAGGAGGTGTCCTGAGGCCCTCATGTGCAGCTGAACATTTTGTCATTATTACTATAGGGTTAAAAACACCATTTCAGTTTTGCCCAAGGCATTCTGCTGAAATTCATCAGAGCGCTAGAGCAGATGGATGAAATGCGAATTTGTTTCTGCATATTGATGTTGCTCCACAACATCAGCAGAGTCCTGATGGAACCTGCTTAACGATGCTGAAACCAAATGAACCTTAATCAATCAGGAGTTTAGAGTAGGAGTTAACTGAGACCCCTCGGCCAGCAGCCGATACCTGGTTAGAATTGCTGAGGAATTGGAGGACAGTGCAACAGGAGCAGAGAAGGAAATCTGACAGTACAGCTGGAAATTGGAAGAATCTGAAATACAATCACATTTTCTGAGGATAAAGAACTTCTTTAATTTTCAGAAAATGTTATAGTCATGCCGTATCTTGCTTGTGAACATTGTACTTCACGGAAGAACCATTTCACCATTCATCTGCTTCAACCCAGCTTGATTACTAAAACCACTCTAGAGCTGCATCTTCCAAGGTGCCTGGTGCCTGTCGAGTGCTCACAGTTACTGAAGGTGTTAAAAATACATCAATTGCAAAGAAACTTGCCCTTTCATGTCCGGTGCATGAACACGATGTGCCTCAGTTACATTTTCTAGCTCTCTCTGCTGTGTTCATGCACTGGATGCAGAGACACCCTGGAGGTGTTCTTGGTTGGTACTGAAAGCCATCAGCCGGTGCATCTGTCCAGTCTGAGTATGAGGAAGACGATACCCTGTTGCCCTGCCTTCTGTTCTCTGTACTGTTCCTGTGGCGCGCAGGGAGATGTGCCGCCATCTCTCGGGCAGCGGTCCATTGTTTATCACGTGTCTGTTCATGTCTCTCAGTCCTCTGTGCTGCATCCTTTGCTGCAACTTGTTCCCCAGCTCCATGCGAGAAGACTGAGGAGGTTCCGCAGTGACGTATGTACAGTAACCTTCCGCATGCTTCCATTCCTACCGCCTCCCTCACAGCCCCGCCGGCGGGCCGCACTCATGTTTCTCCACCGGCGCCGCATGCGCTTGCGTTCGGACACATCACAGCAGCTCGCTTCTCAGACCCCCTAGGGAGAGTCGCTCAGACACGGGGTTTAGGTCGGCTTCATGCTCCATTCCTGGGATGGATTGCTTTTCACGACTGAATTTGTCTACATGATCATTTTAAAGGTTTTGAATGCTCGAGATAAACAATTTGCAGCTATAAATACATTTTTGACTGGAACTGTTTGTCATTCGTTCAACACAAAATTGTCATCTACTGTACCACATCTGTGCCAACTTAAATTAAGTCCATTTAATCCTCTGCTGCAGAAATAACCTATTTGTTTCTTAAAAAATAATAGGACAAGTTTGCCTCTTGTGGGTATTGCATTATTATTTATACGGTATTTAAAAAAGTGAGAAGACTTTCAACAGTACAGGACATTTTGATAGGTACAGTGAGCTCCAATTGTCACTTTTACAAAATGTTTCTAAGGTCACTGAAATCGAAGTTCCAGTAATTGCCAGTGTTTCAAGACTGTTTTCCAGAATTACCTGTAAAGATTTGCTAACAATCTTGCTAAATACAAGAGGCCGCTGATGATACAAACAAGTAAAACAAACCACAAGGACCAGCATGAAAGTGGCTAAGAGATGCGAGTACCAGATTTCAGGATTTTTGCATGAAAATACTGTAGCTGAGTTGCTCTTCAGCCTGGCTATATGATCAGCAGAGTGCACCCTGACTCTGAACGCCTGCTTCTCAAGTAGACTCAAGGCAGTAAATGCAGCTGTTACCTGAAGAGGGCCTGATTCCTAGCACATCCTGGTCACTGCAGTGTGAGCAGTAGGTGGGAGCTACAGTGTGAGCAGCAGCAGGTGGGAGCAGCAGGTGGGAGCTTGTCACGATTATAGTTCCCCCTCCTTAAGGGTGCTCCAGCCCTTTCACGTGAGACTTTATTCTGTGCACCTGTTCCCTATTCCCAGCCCATCTTAAAAGCCAGGCGCTGACGCTCATCCGGGCTCTGCATCTGATTTCCGTATCGTGCGAGTCCGGGACCTGGAAGCGCCTGGTCCCGTTAAGGTTTTAGTCTCTGTTCCCGTTCCCGTTCCCTGTCCGCCGGTTCCGACCCGGCCTTCGTGTTTTAATTCCTTGTTCTGATGGATCTCCTGGTTTTGGACTTATTCTTGTGTTTTGGATACCCTCTAAGGATTATTCTTTTGGATTGTTTGCCTCGGCCACACCTCCCCCGTGCACCAGCGCACCTTGGACAAGCCCCCCTGTCTTCAGCCCCGTATTCCTGCATGACGTTTCCCCAGTGTTTCCCCACTTCTTCGGATTGTGTCGTCCGCATAGGGTCCGGAAAGAACTGTTCGTTACAGAGCTGCAGTGTTAGCAGCAGAGTACTGCATGCCCTTCAGCAACCCACACAAGTGTGTGCCTGCCTTGTGGTTATTGCACTGTTAATGGGGCCTCTGCATTAGCAATAATTTCCACTCCGCTCATCACTGTGAGCTAAGATTAGTCCACAAACAGGAAAGCACAGAGCAAGTTCAAAACAAACACAACTCGCTCTGCCCCTCCATGGCAACCTGAGTCCAGTCTTGTTACGAGAGGAAGAGACTGTTTCCAGGTAACAGCCTTAAGACCCCACACACACAAACATATTTAGTCCTAGTTGTTAATTTCTGCAAACTTGTGTTTCTGTAAAGTAATTGAGGATTTTTGGTTTTTAATCAGCGTAACCTATTATCAGGTAGCCCATGATGGTACATAATTTTAACCTCACCAGTGCCCAGTGTGACTCTGGAGAACTGGATGTGTTTGTAAAGAGACTGTTATTTTAACATAGTGTCATCTTTATTAGTAAACCAGGACCTACAATCAACCCCTTGGAGAAAAGCAGCCCAATAAAGCTCCTTTTCTCCAAGAGGTTGATTGTAGGTCCTGACTGGTGTATAATTCCATGCACAACTCTCTGAGTACATGTTTTGAGAATGAAGTGTTTTATTTCTTTTCAGGATGTTTTTTTTCCCCTTCAGTCTCTTTGGGTGTGTGAAACGGAGGGAGTGCTTAGAAAGTTAGTTGACTTAATCAAAGACGTGCTTCCTGGAAAACGCTGGGGTGCCGTTGGGTGGAGAAGGCAATGGGACCCCTGAGCTCTGAGCAGGTCAGGAGGCTTGCGCTGTGTCTGCCCACACCAGCAAGCCAGAAGGCACCCTGTGCTGCAGGTCGCCCTTGTCCATTTGAGGGCATTCTTATAGTCCCTGATTTTACAAACCAAATTTCATGACTTCCCTCTGCCCGTTTCTACCGATACAGCTGAAGTCGTAAGCACCCAGCGCCCAGACTGTGCACGTCAGTGTGCGAATGGGCCAGTCTGTCCAGGTCTGGCGAACTGCAAGGCAGAATGTGCCCAGAATCTGGAACACCAAGAGCTCACTACTGCCCTGAACTGAGGCGGAAAAAGTTTTATACCTTTTATTAGTGAGGCATAGTCAACAGGGAAACTTGTTCAGCTATGAAAATGCGTCAGTGGGACGGCAGGTGTATGCTAATCACTCCACAGGTTTCTGTTGAGTTCAGGGTGGGATTAGAGGAAGCTGAGTGTCACCTGGTTTTACCCAGTAAGATGAATTCCTTCTCTGTATTTTTCAGGATGATCTTCAAGGACCTGGTGGGATTCAAAGCCGAGGATACTTCCTATTTAGGGTGTGACATTTAAAAAATAACATTTTTCAGTGAAACTGCTGTGCACAATGAGAAATTGATTATGGATTTCTTTATGTCACTCTTATTCCTGACAGTGTTAGTAGGGTTAGGATTGTACTCACTGTCTCACCTGACCTTTACTTATGTTACAAAAGAGACTATTAATGCCTGGTTGTACAGTATGTGTTATTGCTGTTGTGTTAATAGATTTTGTTGGCACACAACACACTGTAGACACAGGCATATCCTGGGAACATGGGAGCAAACCGGAGCCTCGGAGAGTCCTGGTGTTTCACAGGGAGAACATTCCCTGTCTGGAATCAATCCGTGAGCCAGCTGCAGAGTGGAGATTCAGATCTGTTTTTTATAGTTAATTCTGAGATTTTAGAATTGTGTCTCCATAGTACAATTTGAGTGTTATATGTTATTTATTATTGCATTGTGTCAAGCTAGTAAGAAGCTCCTCTCTCCCCAGGGAGCTTGGTGTGTTGTGATTTGTGATTTCCGGGACACCTTTTAAAAGTTTGTTTAAGCTCTTCCACCTTTCTATAGGGCTTTGTGAAAAAACACACACAAAGATGCATTCAAATCAGGTCTCATGGTCTCTACTTCTCTGGTTACTCCCCTGTCAGTACAGCCTTCTGCTTCCAAGTGAGTTATGTAATGAATGAACTGTAATGAACTCCTTCAACTACAACATGAATACAGATACACGCCGCAAACATCTGAGCTGTGTCACAAAGAAAAGAAGCTGGAACAAATGTAAAAGATATTTCTCAGTCCCAGGATGTTTCATACACACAAGCTCATCGCGGCCTTCCCCTGCTTTCTCTTTCTGCAAACCAAGTCCATCTGATTAAGACGAGCCCTGTCTGTGTAGGATATTGACAAACATCCCCAGCTCAGCAGCGAGACTGTAACACATGTTGTCTTTTGACATGCAGCCAAGGAATGGAAGAAGATCAACTACGTTTATCTGAAGGGGTATGTCTGATGGCTTTCGGGGTTCAACTCCAAATCGTTTTGTTAGTTTCAGGAATAAACTCATGATATAAAAGCAAACAGGATGTCAGGCTAAATAGCTAAAAGTGTAGCATTTTAATCAAGGTAGTGTGTTAAACAATGCACTGGTGAGACCTGATATAGAATACTGTGTTCAGTTCTGATCACTAAATTACAAAAATAGATATTACTGCTCTGGAATCAGTCCAGGACAATCAGATACATTCCAAGTATATTCACAATCCTCCAACACATAGACAAAGCAAAGCCAGTAGATGCCTTCAGAATCGACAGTGAAAGCAAGGGGAATGAGCGGTAACTAAGTAGAAGTACAGTGAACACTAAGAACAGTTGCACTTCTTTATGCAAAGGGTTGTGGGGGTCTGCAGCAAGCTGCCCAGCTGTGTTCTTGGGATGTATTATCTACTAACTCCCACGGAGCTAATTGGGCAGTATGGCCTCATTTCTAACCTTTCTTATGTTTATATAATAACTATAATGACATAACTAAAATCAGGGCTGTGTCCTTACTTTTCCTACCTGGATAACAAACACTCAGCTGTTTTCTTTGTGGTTTATAGTCATTCCAAAGCTTTTTACAAACACATAACAGTGACTTGCATTGATTGATGGTCTTCAGACACTGTGCAAGTTTTATGGGAAACTCTGAGGAGCTTTAATGTGGACTCCTGGGTTCTCATTAAATGAGAGTTTTTATAAGTCGCCACAGGATTCTTTATGATTTAGCAAGTTGATGACACAGTAGTGGATCTGAAGTGCTTGAAGGTTGAATCCTTCGCTCCTCTGAGGGATGAGAAAGAAGTTTTATTTTGAATCCGGAAGATGAGTGACTGCACATTAGGGGATGATCCTGGGGCAGGGAACAAGAGCACCATACGCATTTAGATTTTATTGTGTAATAAATGAGATTTCGGACATCTCAGTTTAGTTGAAACAAAGGAAATAGTCCAAGATACTTCACAAAAAATATGAAGTGGTTCGTGGTTTTATTGTAATATTAAACTGAGCCCTGGCCGTCCTGCTTGGAAGACAAGGTGAAGGGAAACAAGCCCTCTGACTGATGCTCTGTGCTTGCAGAACTGTGGGCCGCTGGTCTCCCCTCGAACCCGGGACTGGAAAGGGGAAACGTCACCCCAGCGCAGCACATCCCAGCTGAGCAGGACCATACCAGCTTTAAAATCTTTACACTTGTTCTGTATCAATTTCGAATGTACAAAAAAACGAGAATAAATACATTTTTTTGGTTACAGTGCTGTTTAACTATAATCTGTTATTTAAATTAAAAAAGAAGCATCGTGAACTGTTCCATTGTTGGTGTAATTTTCATCGGGGTTTGGCAGTAAACTAAAAGCTCATTCTTCAGAAGTGCTCAGGATGGCTGTGACAATGAGGACTGTACAGTAAATGTGTTTTGTTATAACAGTACAATTCCTAGTAAACAGCTGTATTTTTTCATGAGAATGCGTGGTTCCAGGTTTCAGAAGTTGGTTTGAAATTAAATGCACACTGTATATACCATATGTGTGTGCTGCATGTATATGTCCATGTAGATATTCATATATGAGTGCACACGCAGACACTGGATTTGAGATGCATTTAAGCCTTGTGTGTTTATATGTTGACTGTCAAAAATCAAAACGAAGAGATGGGGTACATACAGGCACAAAACTATAAGAGCAAGTCTTCCCAGGACCTGCGACAATCTCACCATGATACCTGTAGAAGCACCGTTGGTCGGTCACTGACAACCAGCGATCCATAGTCTTTTTTTCCGAGTTCCCTCGGCTGCAGCCGCTCCAGACAGCTGGAGCACGAGCACTGCCTTTAAACCAGCTGTGTGCCAGGGGCTGGGGCTGCTGCAGAGCCAAATATCAAAGCAGCAGATAATTCGACAGCTCTACACAAATGTCAGGACTATAAGCAACACATTTCAAGAAACAGAAGCTGCTGCATCAGCAGGCGATAATGATATAATTGGAGTGATGGAAACAGAGGTAGCAGGGAGCGAAGGAGACCAGTACAGCACTAGTGGAGACACCGTGTTCAGAGAGACAGGAAAGGAGCAGCAGTGTGTTTGAAACAGGGCTTTCAGGTCCAGGAACCCAATCTAGAGGAATCAGGAGTCAGACCTCCAGAGAACTCAAAAGCCAGCGTTAGGAGTTGTGCTACAGCTTCCCAAGCTTCAGTGTCAGTTATAAAGCCGTCTTAAATAGCGACATCGAGGATGAGTGTGTAAAGGAAGAGTCGACAGTGTGGGAGATATTAATTCTCTTCACCTCGACTGTGACAGTAGCAGTCAAACAAGATCATTCTGTATATGCTATATCTCGCATTCACATGGACTACACCACATTTAAAACACATGTATATAAAATATTACATACTGTATATATAGATCAAATCTGTCACGTGCCGGGCTGGTGCCAATGAATGAATCTGCGTTGACCTGGACATCAGATACAGCGCAGGGCCTGTACAGTGGCGACAGACGGCACCAGAACTCATTCATATATATCGCCAGAGACAGCGGCGCGCTCTGTAACAGCACAGCGAACACATTGCCACTGACTCCTGGCTTGGAAGATAAGGTGAAGAAAAGCTGTGGGTGGAAAGTCTGGAATTTAAAGAGCCACACTTTTTTCGGCTTCAGTTGTAGGAGGAAACGCATCACATTTTCCTTTACGATTTATGAGTCTCCTCACCTTGTACACAGTTTCAGCTCTGAGCAATGAAGGCATCAAGGAGAGACGCCTGGGCATTGGGAGTGTGTTAAGTGTAATTGATCACAGGTTTTGAAACAAGAGGGGAACTTTTAACCAAATGTTTCTGATCGTTAGAAAAAGAGCAGCTCTGACTACTGGCAGATCTGAAAATCTCTCTCCATGAGAATAAATACTTTCGCTCCAGGCAGAGACTTGTGGTGTCCCCAGACCCAGGCTTGGTTTTTCACATCAAGAGCTGCTTTCTCTCATAAAAAGCACTTTGTTGTGTCTTCGCTCAACCTTTCTTAGCACTTTCAAACGGTTCAGCTATGCCTCCACTCTGCAAGCTGTTTTTATTTGCCCCTGTTGTTCAACCAGACAATAACAGCACTGTTGAATACTGGACACTGGTGTGGTGTATTGCTGTGTTGCGTCTAGTTTAAGATTTAAGACGCATTGAACGAGAGCTGCTCACTTTTGTTGATCAATTCTGAAAAATAAAACAGTAAATGCCCAAATACTATACATCCTCCTTTATCTTCTTTTCAGAAAAACAGTACTGAGAAAAATAAAGGGAGGCATGGGATCCTTTAATCGCTTATGAATTCATGGAAACAAATTCAGTCTCTTGGCCCTTGGAAAAGGCTTTCTGGTTGTGCTCCAGACCTGGGCTTGGTCAGAGGGGACGAACCTCCACCTTTAGCAAGGTCATTGGCCCTCAGTGGCCCAACAAGAAGCAGAGGAACATCAGGAAGGGGCATAACAACAGAGACACTCCCATACCGGTGGGAGTCTGGAACAAGCGACCCAGCCATGTTTTCCACTAACTACTGCCTAATTACAAGAGCTGGATGGGTGGAATGGCCTGTCCTTTATAACCTCCCTGATGTTCTTCGATGCTGAGAACTGAGACTGCAAGGCTGCAGGAGACCTGTGAGGAAAGGACCAGCGCTCAAGGGCAAATGAGGCTCTCCAAGACTACCTGTTTGTGCCACAACTTGGACGAGCAAAAGGGAGCAAATTGAAGCCAGCCTGATAACAAAGAAGCTCCTCAATCTGGAAAACTGAGGAGGTCAGACCCATCCACTTACAACGCTGTGAAGGTGGGAGTCGTAATGGAAAGTGGAGATGTTAATAAAGATAGTCCGTATTGGGGAATTGATTGCCTACTACTTCTGGGGGTGCCTGGTTTTTTAAACCTATAGTCTAAAAGCCCTTTTGGCCTTTGAAATGGAAATTCAGTCAATAAAACCTGCAAAACGAAGATGTCAGGCTGGAGTCTGAGGTTTTTCGAATTCTGTAACAGTGGACTTCAGAGAAGAGCCTGATACTAATTTGAATGTTTCTAAAATTGTTTTCAGAGTGAAGTGCTTGAAGTGCGCATCTGGTCACAACACATACTGTTTCAGAAGGGAGACTGTAGATTTCTATAGCTAACCAAAAAAAGCTGTTTTTAAGTGCTCATACAGGGTTGTAGCTCTTCAGTTCACAATTCTGAGACCATTTTTTTCTTGTTCTCTTATAACAGAAATACCCATTTTTAACCCACAAAAGCTGAAATGAACAAAGAACATGTCGAGAATTCTAACCTGGATGTGATGTTTTCTCTACCTTCAGTTGTTCTAAACAATTTTTTATGCAAAAAATGTGGCAGAGTGGTGCAGTGGTCAGCACTGCTGCGTCACAGCCTGGGTCACCGGGTTCAATTCCAGACCTGGGGTGCAGCCAGCATGGGTTTCCTCTGGGTGGTCCAAGTGGCTTCTGAGAAAACTGGCCCTGGTGTGAGTGTGTGTATCAGTGTGTGCCCTGTGATGGACGGGTGTCCTGCCCAGGGTGTACCTGGCCCCGGTGTGAGTGTGTGT